GAAATAAAACCTTCTTCCTCGCGCGTGTCCATGCGCGGAGGGATAAATTCCTGGCCCCTGGGGATGTCTGAGACTTCCGACATATCGAGTAATGCCTGCCAAGCATCTCTGGCTGACTGTATGTTCTTTATTCGACGAAACGCCTTTGCTCCACATGAAATCTTAATGGCATGTAGAGCTAAAGCATTCTGTTTATTCCACACCCTCTCATTTATTTCCTCAGTCGTCGGGATTGGTTCAATAACATCCCAAACATCTTGAGCCACTAAGTAGTGTTCTATTAAAATGCTCCACCTTTCATAATTATATTCTCCAAAAACTTCTGGTACAATCGTGTTCGGAGGCAGAGTAGCTGTTTCCATGTTAGCCTATGAAACATTTCACCATGCATAAAACTAATTAACTTCGGCACTATTTTCTTTTTGCAGAAGAATTTCAAATTACCAAAAAAAAATGACAATAAGCAGCATGGCAAACGTGATGATAGAAAAACTGATGCCAACATATATAAAGGTGCTGTCAATCTGGTTAATGAAAAGAACTTGGTTAACTAGCTATACATTGGTGTTTATATTTTTGCTATTACTATATTATCATTAAAATTGTAAAAACAAAATTCAGTGATAAAATCATATATCCCACAACATTATTATTATTATAATTAAAAAAATTAAAAAAGAAGCTAATCTTCTCAAACTCCCTTAAATATTCTTCTACTGAACCAGTCCAAGTTACATCTTTCCATTGTATCATAGGATCCAACATGCTACAATTAATCACCAAATCTCAAACTCATATAAAAAGAATACTGCTTCCAACAAAGGAACCCATTATGAATCTGACAGCAAATATGGCAGCAATTTAGTTGCAAATATGATGGAAATAAAGCTGTCAAATGGCAGAAAAAATGTGCAGCAAGCTAAGCTGCAAATGTTGATGAAATGAAGCTGCAATGAACAGAAAATGAAATACAAATACAAATGAAATGAAGGCTGCAAAATCATAGTAAACATGCAGCAAAAGTAATTGTCTTTTATTTGTTTTAGATGTACTTTTATTATTGCTTTTTAATGTAGAAAAGCTGCTTAGACCAAAAACAAAAAAGGGGAAATTTTTTAATTGTTTTTAGATTGTTTTCTGCTATATAAAGCAGAGATTATTAATGAGAAGATCTGAGGAGTGTTGTAATCCTATCCAGTTTCGTTTATGTTATACTCTTCATCTTCCTCCTGATTTTCTCTCCATTGCTTTGTGAGAAAAAAAAAAAAAAAACCAACAGTTTAGAAGATCAAGCTATTGCTATGTTTATTGATGGTTTAAAGGAGGGTTTACAGCATTTTGTTGTTTGTCAACACCGTAAACCTGTTGTAGAAGCCTTTTCCTATGTTAAACATCAAGAAGCTCCTGCAAAATCTATACTAAAGAAAACCAAATTCCAAAGTTCACAGGCCTATACCAGAACTCTTCCACCTTTAGTACCTTTGCCTCCAAATGCTCAGAAGCTTATTTCCAATCCATAGAACTCAATTAAAATACCACCATTCACTCGCCAAAATGGTCCCTTTATCTCATTAGCCCCTAAAAACCTACCCAAAACCAAGGGAACCAAAGCTTATTTATCATTTTTTTTTTTAACCTTATCTTATTTATTTATTTCAATTAGTCATCTTATTATCAGAAGTCTCCCTTTATCTATTTTTTTAAGTGTAATAGAAGTATAAATTATCATCAAATTCCTAATTAAAAAAAAATAAAACAGTTATTTGAAACAAATGGAGCATTATCAACAAATTAGTGTTATGAACAAATTTTTTTCAAAAAATAAAACTGATATGTTCTTTCTCTGGTATGAGTTAAGTAAGAAAAGGATAAATTTTGTTATAAAGAAAAAGAACAAACAATTGTGTTCTTTTTGCAGCACGAACGGCGAGAGCTAACCTCGCCGGAGAAGAAAGGAAAAACAGAAGAAAATAGGGAAAGCGAGGAGAAGTGGGGAATAATGAACAAACCTAACTGACAGCCAAGGTGGTGCCCAAAAGCCTCCATAAGCTGTCCATTTATAATCGCCAGAAAAATGAACTATTATGATTAGTCGATTAACCCATAAAACTACAAACATAATCGAAAAAAAAAAATCATAATCGGTAAAACTTTTTTTGATCTTGTCGATTATATTTTTATAATTGGCAATAATTTGACTATCAATTACAATATTATCGTTTATTTTTTATTTTTTAGTGATAATAATTTAAATTTAAACTTTTTAAGATCTTATATATTTTAATCGAAAATGTTATTAGATTATTAATAAATTTTAGTCTAAGACAATTTCAATAACCCTGTACCAACTATTGACTACACTAAGAGAAACGGCATGTTTTTTTTCTTAGACTGCATTACATATTATTTTAG